AATCGTCCTCGTGTCTAGATGTGGGCGCCTTGGCAATATCCCAGCCTACGTACAAGCATGAATTACACACATACAGATAAATTCGTGCCACATCAGCCGTCGCATGGTGCCATCAGCCGGGTCGCCTTACTCGTTGCATCCAGCTCTGTCTATCTGGCTGCCTTTAATGTCAACACCCTGAAGCAAGCAGGACAACAAAATACCCTTGCTCTCACACTGGACTCGCTTGGCAGTGATGTTTGCTATGTCACAGAAACAATAATTCACGATGCAAGCACGATGATTAAGCTAATCGCCCTATCAGTCGCTATTCGCTTCCGGCAACGCGCCTCGCGATCCAAAGGTTACTGAGACAGAACTTGCAGGGTTTGGTGTCGTCCTGAGTCACCGAGCGGAATGATCCTTGCTTGACTGATACCTGTTAATAGTCGCCCTTAACCGGTTCATCTGGCAACGTCTATTAAGGTGTCTCACAAGCTGATGTATGTGTATTTGCCGTGTCTGCTTACACCCCAACTGACTGTAACTCTGATACCATTAAAGGGAAGTTTAACGACGCTCCGGATGCCCTATTGTGGGGAATTAAAAGCTGAGATATCGTTGTGGTTGCGTGAGGTCTGAACACCCAGGTGCGCAGGGTTGGCGCATCTGAGACTCAATAAACTGATCGACATGGACTGGATTTGGTAGGTACGGACAATGGCGAACGATTACTTCAGCAGACTGTTTTCATGTAGTACTGACTTCCCAACTAGCGGAAGTTTTCTAGCCACATGGTGTCCTCCAACGACATGTAGGCAACGAACTCAAACAGGTCGGATTCCCGTCAGTAGATCGGGATCTTAGACTAATTTAACTGAATCGTCTTCTAGATTCTCCTCCAACTGCTCCACTATCAGACGTGAATTTATACTGGGATGAAATTGCCACCTCTTTGCATAGCGCTGGGAGTTTCGCATATGGAACGGCTTTAACAGACACTTCACTCAAGCACTGAATATCAGATCGAACAGTAGCCCTGCTTAAATCTCGAAGAAATGTCACCCCTTGTCCCGAACATAACTTGACCCGACGAACTACCAGACGTCAAGTGAAAGTGAGTGTGTGCCGACCGTCAAGTCCGGTGAACACGGAAATCTAAGCAATCGGAAGGGGCTCAGATATGCATGGATTCCCGAAGACTGTTTTAGTTTATCTGTACGGCTGGTCCTCGGAAACCACCTGTGAGCAAACCTATCAACAATCAAAGTGAAGTGACCATATTAAATAAAGAATAACGCATCGATCGTTGGACTAAATACTTCGAACAACATATGTGGCCGCCCGCTGCCACTCATCTGGAGCCTACAACTGACGCAGAATCCTGGACAGTGAACGTGGAACCCACTACGGCCTCGGAGGTTTATGATTGTGTATGTTCACTCAAGCTTCACCGACTGTCTGGTTCGGATGACCTCCCACCCGAATTCTTCAAAGACTGGAGTGAAACCCTCAGTCAGCGTTTGATAATCTGCATGCCTGTATTTTGTAAAAGGAGACCGTGTCAGACAACTGGGAGGAGTCTGTGATACTGTCCATTTTCGAAAAATGGACTCGTAGTGAATGTGTTAACCACACGGGGGTCAGCTTACCTCGGGTCGTATCTTGGAAGTTGTATTAGTTCTCATTAGGTGTGACATGAGGTCAGTGCACAAATCTGAAAGGCTCGGGTCGTGTGCTAATTTGAAACACGTATGGCTTCAAAGTGATGTATCCCAGAATCTCAAGGGATGTATGATTGTAAGACTTGGTCTGTTGAAGCAGCGGTACTGAAACGTTTTCAGATGTTCGACAACCGTTGCTCCAGAACCATAGCTCGTGTGGGTTTTTGTCAGCGAATCCATAACGAAGCAGTTAGAAAGCGAGTTTTCGGTTGTGCAACGGGGGCTTACGTAGGATAATGTGTCCAGCATCAGAAGCTGCTTTGATTAGTTGAACACTGACGTCATGCTGTGAATGATGATCGTGATGATGGACTGTACACTTGCATAACGTATCCTCGGATACGTAAACACCTTTTCAATTGCAGTTGCAGTAAGTTCGGTTTTTGGGGCGTTCTAAAGAGAATCGGTCGTTGTATCCCATTTATTGTGGATTTTTTAATCATCATTCTGACTAGATGCATTGTCGTATTTAAGATCAGTTTCTAACAAGGTATGAAACCGATACACTACATCTTATCGGACATAACTACCTATATCGTCATGTGGGAAGCATATTCGCAATGATTTCATTGAAGCCAGATCTCCAACGTGCTCGTCAAAGATGAACGCCCACTCTTCCGTTGTGTAATTTTCAACATTTAAGCTGAACGTTTGCTCCGGAATTTCATGTGAATGAGCCATCCAAAACATTGGGTACAGTTGTTTGTGTGCAATAATCACGTGCTGTGGTAGACACCTGTCAGCTGCGGTCTACTCATTCGGTTGCACTGTTCAGCGAAACTGCATATACGCACTATCGAAAAGATTGATCTGATTTACTAATTAGTGACACCAACTAACGACAAGATAAGACTGTTGTGGTGGGTTGCTGGTTTGTAGAAAGCGGACGATTAAATATGAAGGACAACTGTGCATTTGAATTGTCGATGGTTAAGCCCATTTCATCTAGATGACGGCCATGGAAACTGAGGCATCGTTCCCTATTACGGACGCTTAATTAAAGTAAACAGTTGCCCATTTATTCAGTTCAGCAAGGCAGCGTGCCGTTGTTTTCCCAATACCCGAACTCATATCGTTTCACAGTATTGCTCATTCATGCAAATGACCACATCTTTTTTGTATCCTGTTGGGTTGGGGAAATCGATTGTGACACATAGAAAACCCTTTCTTACTATTCCCCGGGGACTTTAAATACCACCTCTAATAAGATATCCATTGACATCCCTACTTTGAAGACTTGGTTTCATTAATCATCATCATCAATGACAGCAACATCAGTGTTGGCACTGATGCTTCCCTGCCGTTTCATTGAACCGACGTTTATTCGGAAAAAAGGCAAACGGTGCGTTGTAACGGGATCCTCGAAGAGCAGTTCAGGTGGCCTCCTGCAACACAGCTTGTGACTGTACATACGGATGATTGATATGTAAACGCTAATTGCCCGTCAGAGGAGGAAAAGTGCGAGTACTTCCAGTAAAACTTCAGAAGCCAGACGATCTTTATCCAACCCCCTTGAAAAACTTTTTGGTTACTCACGTGGTGCTATGTGGAGTGAGAAGAGTGTCCGCAGAATGGGGCACCTCAGCAACCATCTTTTTCTTCAGAAAGGAAATGTTAACTCTTTGACGTCTGTGGTGTCCATCGAAGGTTGACTGAGCACAGAGAGAGATCCATGAAAGTCAAGCTGGTTTCCATCTTACCAGAGGATGCGTCCGTCACATTCACCCCTCAATGGATTCTGGTACAGCGATACTGCTTCCAACAACCAATCCTGGTCATCCTTGACTAGAAAGCTGCGTTTGACTTTGGTTTCGTCTGGCTGCGATTGCAGTGTCTAAGGAACACGGGTGGTTCTTATAAATTGTTAGTCCTCAGAGCTCTGTGCCAACTCCTGTAGACGTGTGAAGGTCTACTCCTGAACTGAGCTCACCTCATCCAGTCATATCAGTTTCTCTTTCACTTTCTCCCCACTCTATATGATCACTGGAGACTAGTCCGCAACATCTAATGCCTATAGGATCGGAGTGCTCTCAAGGCGTTGTCTCACGGTTGTCGAGCGCACAGGTTACATAACTCTTCTTGGATCCGACACCACCGTAATGTAAACAACGCTAAATAGTGTAAGTAACTCTGTTTCACGTTGTAGTATGCTCCTCACACCACAAAGCGTACATTGTTGCCACAAGGCTGGTTCACACCCGAACGGATTGCTGTAGAAGAATCGATGAAGATAGTGAGCAAATTTATCTAACCAGGGAGCTGTTTTACTCCTGGTGGCCTAGCTAAAGATAACCTCTCTATCCGGATTGGGAAGGCCAAGACGGCTTCTTTCAACCTGAATCTTTTGTACCTCAAGCGCGCCATCAGCTTATTTATCCAGAGTATGGTTACAATGCTGTGGTGCATCCCGTCTTGGCGTATGGGTCAGAACCATGACCATGAGTGAGTTTGTACTGCCATTCAGAATGGAATTTTCAAAGTTAAATAGTTCGTTAGAACATTTTGCTCGGTTTACAAACTTGAATACTGCCTTACTACGTCCGAAACTTTGAATTTGTTGGACAAAGTTAATCAACTGAAGGATAATTACAAGCGAATATTCATCGAAAAACACCTTAAAAGCGGCCGAGCCATGGTGCTTTAAGTTTACTAAGCGTGCGCTATCAAGCCTCATTCTTTGCTGAAGACCGAAAGTTCTTGATCGCCATAGGTGATTCACGTTGGATTCTACGGTTTCATGTGATATAACGACATCCTTCCCGCCAGGACTTGACCCAATGGTCTTGTTCATCAGTACTTGTTGTCGTGTAATTTCATGACTTGCTCGTATTCGTAGCTAAATCACCGTGTCTATGCAGTCCTATGAATGCCAAAAATGAGCTCGCATCCCGCCACCATATGCCCCACAAAAGACACCTTGGCAACTGATTCCAGATTCCATATAGAAGCCATGTGACAGAAAAAATTTTGGTCATCAGTTTGGCATATCAGTACTTTGTAGTGTTAATTGTCTTGTGCTGCAGACTTGAGTCGAAATCATCTCACTGGAAACTGTTGGGCTGTGATAACCTATGGATTAATGCTTGTTGTACATTTGAAGCCTGCCGATCACTTCTGTAAGGTGAAAAAATTTCAAGAACCACTAAAATTTGCGGAACAAACCTAATTGTTTAATCTATTTCCAAGTAGCCTTCATGATAAGACCGGTTCAGTCGTAAGTAGACGATATGTTGTCTATCCCAAAAGTTCAGTTTGTGAGGTGTTTGGCGTTGGTTATGGCTCCCCAGTTGAATGTACGTCGACTGACCACGGAACGCATCGTTTGAAAGCTTGTGTCTTCGACCCTGCTACACAGAACATTTTTTTTCTGTCCACCGGATTAGCCTTTGATGTGTTTAAAATAAAACCGATCTCAATGCAATAAGTGTACTTTTTCCTATCCATCCAGAATCTCACAAATGTCATTCCATTCACGTGTAATTATTGTTCCCTTCTTATCCCTATGTTGTTCTGTTCACCATACATCGGCTGCCTACTTTGGGGAAACTATCTTGTTTCGTGGGTGTTGTTGGGCTTCGACCAATCTTAATTATTTTGGGAGCTTTTACTAACATCCGAACGATTTCCTCCATTTGAGTAC